GAGGGAGCGGGAGGGACAGGAGGGAGCGGGAGGGACAGGAGGGAGCAGGGGGGACAGGAGGGAGCGGGAGGGACAGGAGGGAGCGGGAGGGACAGGAGGGAGCTGGCCGGACAGGAGGGAGCGGGAGGGACAGGAGGGAGCTGGCCGGACAGGAGGGAGCGGGAGGGACAGGAGGGAGCGGGAGGGACAGGAGGGAGCAGGTGGGACAGGAGGAAGCGGGTGGGACAGGAGGGAGCAGGGGGGACAGGAGGGAGCAGGTGGGACAGGAGGGAGCGAGAGGGATAAAAGGGAGCAGGGGGGACAGGAGGGAGCGGGAGGGACAGGAGGGAGCGGGAGGGACAGGAGGGGGGGGGGCTGGTGGCAGCCCTGGCTGGCCTCACAGCGGGTCCAGGAGCTCTGTGCCACCCCCTCCCCCCGGAAGACAAGCAGCACATCGGTGGGGAGATGTCCTGGTGTTGCAGTGTTGAGGGAGGGGTGCCCCTGGCACAGAGGGGGCAGGGGCAGGGTGCTGCTCCCCATCTCACAGCACTCAGTACCCTCCCATGGAGGCCAGTGGGTGAGCTCTCCGGAGTCCACCACGTTCATCTTCACAGCATCCTGTGATGCCAGGGTTGAAAGTGACCAAAAAGCCGGGACGGTGGGGCTCAGGGGTAGAGCTTGACCTGGGAACCAGGAGGTCACGGTTCCATTCCGGTCAGGGCCCAGGCCCGGGTTGTGGGCTCCATCCCCAGTAGGGACATGCCAGAGGCAGCCGGTCCGTGGTTCTCTCTCGTCATGGATGTTTCTCTCTCTCCTCCCTTCCTCTTGGAAATGAATAAAAACACATATTTTAAAAAGTGACCGAAAGGTCATCTCGCCTGAGGCGGCTGCTGTTTTCACGGCTTTGGTCCTGGCAGCTGGGGCTTCTTACAGAGACAGGCGGAGTCTCCCTGTGATTCCTTAGAGCAGTGGTCGGCAAACTGCGGCCTGCAAGCCACATGCGCCACGGCCCGGGCGAGTCTGTGTTGAAGAGGTGGCGTTAGAAGTTTAAGTTTAAAAAACGTGGCTCTCCGAAGAAATGTCAGTCGTGGTGCTGTTGATGGTTGGCTCTGTGGACGGATGAGTTTGCCGACCACGGCCTTAGGGCAAGGCTCCATGGCCCCTGGCTCCGGGTGGTCTCACCTGTAGTGGCCCCTGGCCAGGCGCCCCGTGGTCTGGGCGTGGGACTGAGGCTCAGCTTCCTGTCCACGGTCCCTTGGCCGCTGGGGCCCGGGCCTGACCACAGGGATGGTCCAAGCACAAGTCCTGCCTCTGGTGTCCCCGTGGCAGGTCCCAGCCCTGCTCCCGGACTCCGCCCAGCAGACCCTGACGCTCCCCTCTCTGACCAGCATCCCCCTGGAGGGCAAGAAGCAGATATGGCGGTACGACGTCATCCCCCTCCTGGTGCACCTGCTGCAGGACCAGGTGGAGGAGGTGAAGGCCAACGCCGCGGGCGCCCTCATGTACGCCACCGTGACCACGGAAGGTGAGCGGCCGGCTGGGGCCCGGGGGTGGGGGGGGGCCTGGGGTGTTGGGGTCACCACAGCCTGCCAGCGTGTTGGCTACCCCGCCCAGCTTTTAAGTTTTATTTAAAAAAGAAATGGAGAAAGAGAGAAACACCAGTGATGAGTCATTGATCGGCTGCCTCCTGCACGCCCCTTACTAGGAACTGGCGCCCACAACTAGGAACTGGCGATCTCTTGGTTCCTAGGTCGACGCTCAACCACTGAGCCCCACCCAGCGGGGCTGGATGTGTCAGGAGGCCCTGTGTCGCCTTGTAAGGGTGGGGTTGAGGGGCAGCTGCCAGGATGGAAGGGGAGAAGCCAGTTAGGGGGCTGGAGGGGCAGCAGAGGACGGGGCCAGACTGGGCTGGAGGCAGAGGGGGTGCAGGGGCCTGCGTGGGGGTGAATGAGGGAGCTCTGGCAGTAGCAGGTGACACCTCCCCTGAGGACAGCAGGCCGAGGCTGGGGGAGGCCTGGGGGGGAGGAGAGGAGGTGGGCAGAGGCCCCCGCCGAACGCCTGGTGCTGGTCGCCCGCAGGCAAGTACGCGGCCCTGGACGCGGAGGCCATCCAGCCGCTGCTGGGCCTGCTGCTCTCGTCCCTGCAGAAGGCCCGCCTGAACGCCATCAAGGCCCTCACCATGCTGGCCGAGGCCCCCGAGGGCCGCAGGATGCTGAAGGCCAACGTGCACAACTTTCGGGCCCTGGAGAGGGACCCCAGCGAGGCCGTGCAGCGGGCCGCCCGGGTGGCCATCAAGGTCATTGAGTGGAAGCCCTGAGCCTCCCTGAATAAATGGCCGCATCGCTTTCTCCCGGGTCTGCCTGTCGTTTATGTTCACAGAGCCTGGTCATCCTTGCCCTCCTCCCCTCCCCCCCTTGCCACAGAGGACATGCCCGGCCCAGGCCAGCTTGCAGGAGGCCTAGGAGGCAGCACAGGCTGAACCCAGGGCCCAGGGCCAGGGGGAGGCAGCACTGCTTGCCTTGCGGCCACGCTCCCTGTGGGACAGGACACCCCTGGCTCCTGGATGCCCACTCCCGAGTCCACACCAGCCGAGCCAGCTTTCCTGAGGAAGTGCCCCAGCTGTCCTCGGCGACCGGGCCCCCTTCCCCAGAGGAAACAGAGATCCTGTCCCTGGAACTAGAGGATCAGCCTGAACAGGCCCAAGAGGGCGGATTTGCGTGCAAAAAAAAAAGAAAGAATAGTTGATTTCAGAGAGGGAGGAAGAGGAACATCAATGATGAGAATCATGGACGGCTGCCTCCTGCACTCCCCTACTGAGGATCAAGTCTGCAACCTGGGCATGTGCCCTGACCGAAAGTGAACTGTGACCCCCTGCTTCTTAGGTCTACGCTCAAACATTGAGCCACCCTGGCTGGGCAGGGACTGGCTGCTGAAACCTCATTCCCAAGAAAAGGTGCCGTGAAGGGAGACCTCTTCAGGAAAACAGGAGCCCCATCTCGCCTCAGCCACAGCCTCCCCAAGGATTTCTCCCCCTCCCCCCAAAAGGGCACTGCCTCCCGCTGCCAGGACCCGTGCTCTGGGGACAGACAGGTGCCCTGGCCCAGCCGTGGAGTCCTCTGGGGTTGAGGGTCCGGTGTTTCTCACAGCTGTCCTCTAGGCCCGGCTTCTCCCTCCACCCGCCCAGGTCGCCTGCCGGACCCGGGCCTCCTCTCCTAAGTCCCTGCTCGGCTGGCCTGCCTGCTCCTCCCCGGGCTGCTCCTGCTGCCACCCTGCACCGGCCTCCTCCTCCGGTTCCAGGAGGCCTTCGCTGACCCGAGGCGAGGTGAGCGCCCAGCGGGGCGCTCCTGGGCGTGCACAGTGCGGGGAGGGCAGCGAGGCCTGGGTGTCGGCCTTCTGCTCCAGGCCTCACCCCACTCCCTACCTATAAGGTCCCTTGCTGAGCCCCGGTCTCCTCCTGTGAAATGCGGCTAACCCTCCTTTCCCACAGGTGCTTCTGCGCCGTGTCCTGTCCTTGCCCAGGTGGCAGCAGCAGGTACGAGCAGTGCTGGCAGCCGTTTAGGTGGCAGGGGCCTGGCTGCAGGCCTTCTGTGACCCTACGTCCACTGGTGTCCCCCAGGCCACGTGCTCTGCTCACGCTGTCCTCTTGTAGCAACTGGCCTATCGCAGGAACTCAAAAACGGCAGCTCAAGAATTAAACGAGGGCTCAGTGGATAGAGCTTTGGCCGGCAGACGGAAGGGTCCTGGGTTTGATTCTGGTCAGGGCACATGCCGGGTTGTGGGCTCGATCCCCAGTAGGGGGCGTGCAGAAGGCAGCCGATCCATGACTCTGTCACCCATGATGTTTCCCTCCCTCCCTCTCGGAAATCAATAAAAAATCGAGACTGAGCCTGGGGACCAGGAGCTGCCACTGGTGCCCCTCGGGGTGTGATGGCGGCGTCTCCCCAATCACGTCAAGCTCTGCTGCCCCTAAAGGCGCAGACCCTTTACTCAGGTCTGAGGACGAGGAGGGGCCTGCAGGCTCGCCGCCAGGAGGGCCTGTGTCACCGCTCAAGGGGTTCTCCCCTGGACCCAACCCCAACAACATCCCAAGGGCGGCAGGCTGGGAGGGGCTGGGCAGGGCTTGGCAAGGATGGCACAGCAGCTCAGCAGGTGCGGAGGGGGAGGGGCGCCTGTTTGCTGGGGTGGAGGCTGCCTCAGCCCCTCCCTGGCCCAGCAGGACCCCCCATTCCCATCCACAGGCAGATGCGCTCCAGCGGGACTGCGTGGTCATCCGGGGGTACACGTGTGGTAGGAGCCCAGCACGGGGGTGCTCACACCACACAGAATGGGGGTGCTCACACCACACAGCACGGGGTGCTCACACCACACAGCGCGGGGTGCTCACACCACAGCACGGGGGTGCTCACACCACACAGCACGGGGTGCTCACACCACACAGCACGGGGTGCTCACACCACACAGAATGGGGGTGCTCACACCACACAGCACGGGGTGCTCACACCACACAGCACGGGGTGCTCACACCACACAGAATGGGGTGCTCACACCACACAGCACGGGGGTGCTCACACCACTCAGCACGGGGTGCTCACACCACGCAGCACGGGGTGCTCACACCACACAGCGCGGGGTGCTCACACCACACAGCACGGGGTGCTCACACCACACAGCACGGGGTGCTCACACCACACAGCACGGGGGTGCTCACACCACTCAGCACCTTTGCCCGCACATTTAAACAGGAGGGGAGGACAGGAAGTGGAGGTCGGGTACAGGAAGGACTTGGTGACAGTAAAATAAACATAAGCAAAACCCCAATACATGTAGCGACGAACAGCCAGAATAACTCGAAGTGAGTCAGTGTTTATGCGGGAGAGCCACGGAGGAGCGAGTCCCGTCGTCACGGGCAGACGCTCTCGTGGCGGCTCCGCTGCCCCCGAGGATGCAGCCTGCGGCTGTGCACCGGCTGCTGGTAGTGACCGGGCCCGAGGCCTCCCCCGCGAGGGCGCGGCTGCTGGCCGTCAGTGGTAGAGTGCGTGGAGCAGGGCCGTGAACAGGAGCAGGAGGAGCCCGCTGGCCTCGGCCACTTTCTCCCGCAACGGCAGCTCCGGCGCCTCCCACGGCTTAGTGCCTTCCGGCGAGGCGCTCTGCTCCGGCTCTTCAGACGTGGACCCGGGCTCCTCCTTGGTCTGCTCTTCCGGGGCCACCTTGGCGGTCAGCCTCGGCTCCAGGCCACAGTATATGTCCAAGGCATTCCAGAAGCAGCCCTCGGTCCCCTTCCTTATCCCTGGAACAGAGGGCAAAGGTCAGGAGGCGCAGGCGCAAACACGCTGTAGGGGGCCCAGCTCAGCCTTGCTCTGATGTGAGCAACAGCCTCCGGCCCCTGCTGAGGGCCCTCCCCCCACCTGAGAGACGGGGCGAGGGACGAGGTGGAGGGGAGCTGTGGGGGCAGTGGGGCCGCCTGGGCCACGCTTCCGTCTACGGGCAGAGCCTTCGGCGGGGCCCGGGGCCCGGACTGGGTGGCGGAGGTCAGGGGCCTCCGCTGGCACAGAGCAGGCTGAGCCAGGTTGGCCCGACATGCCCGCACTCCTGTCCGGCCACACAGCCCAGTGCAGCTCTGCAGGCCGAGGCCCTCCCCGCGGGCGGAGACGGCTGCTGATTCCTCAGACAGACATGCCGCCTTTGCAGCAGCATCGCAGGAACCAGGGCCCAGGAGGCGGCTCTGCAGGCCTGGGGAGGAGGGGGAGTCAGTGGTGTCTCACAGGAGGCACGGGGGAGGGCTAAGGATTACAGGAGATTTCACGAGGCCGACTCTGTGTAAATGCCTCGCTCTGGGGCTTCCACGTGGCCCCCGTCAGCACAGCGCGTGTCAGCGCGGTCAGCACCACGGCCAGCGCCGGCGCGTCCCTGACGGGGGCGGCCTCCTCCTTGGTGACAAGCTGGGTTCGGTGGGACGGATGCCCAGCAGTGATGCCCAGCAGCGTGCCGGAACGCGCCTGTGCCCGGGCAGCCTCCAAGCCGGCTGCTCCTGAGGCCGAGGTGGCCCCAGGAGTGTGGAACCCATGGCCAGGGACGGAGGAGGGTTACAGGGGGAGGTGGCTGCAGCCGGAGGACCTAGCCGGGGACAGCGGCGTCTGCTGTGGTGCTGAGAGGCCATCACCCCGCCCGCGGCTGCCAGGCCCAACGGGGGGCGCATGTGGAGGGCGACCGGTCGCTCCATGACAGCCTCAGAGCAGCGGGATGGGCCAGTGGCCAAGGGCACACACTTCGGAGTCCGGCTGCCTGGGTCCGATCCCAGGTCCGCCACTGCCCAGTCCTCTGTGGACCCTCGGCAAGTCATTCACTGTCCAGTGCCTCAGTCTCCCCATCAGTAAAGTGACAATGGTACTTCTCACGTATGGGCATAATTGTGACAGCGCTGGCACGTCCCAATGGGTGCTCAATGTGAGCCCCTGTCACCACCACCCCTGACAGAGGGACGGGGAGAGAGGAACGGAGAGGGGCCCCAGAAGGAGCACCTGGCACCCTGTGGGTACAGCGAGCCAGCCCCCGTTAGAGAAATGCCCAGGGAGCCTGCACCCCAGGGTGATGGGTAGCCTTGCTTATGGGGTCACCTCACCCCCACCCCACTGGCTGGGCAGAAGTCCCAGGAGCCCACCCACCCAGGTCTCCTCTGCATGTGTCAGAGGGGACCCTCGGGCACTGCCTTCTCTGGCAGCCTCTTCCCTCCCTGTCTCTCCCTCCCTCTGAGTCTCACCTTCCCCCCTCTCCCTCCCCCCCGCACCCCAGCCTGGACTCAGGGTAATCTCCTTAGGCCTCATCCTGCTGCGTCAGGGTCCGAGAAGCTCAGGCATTGTCCTTTCCTGACCTGACCCGCCAGGACCTTCCTCTGGGCCCGCAGGCCGCACCTCTGCCTGGAATGTTCTCTCCATTCAGCTTGGATGAAGTCTAGCTGTCCTCGGACCTGGTGCCCTCTTAGATGGGGCTGCTCCCCCTTACAGACCATCTCCTGCCCCCCTCCCCCCGTGAGAAGCCCTCTCCCTCTGAATCCCTGTGTAACCCCCCCCCCATGTGCTCTCAGTGGCTAAGCCAGCAGCGGGTTCTCAGGCATCATTCCTCGCCCTCAGCATCTACCTCAGTGCGTGGGTCAGCCACCCCTGCAATGCTTCCAGGTCACCAAGCACTGTCCTCCCCGCCCCCCCCCCCACTGGCTCCTCCCGGTGGCCTGGGTGCCCCTGTGCTTCACGAAGGACCCTTCTCTCCTCCCCCTCGCCCCGCCCTCTAAGAGGGCCCCGAGCTCGGCTCCCACGTGGGTCTCTGCAGCCAGACCACTCCGCAGAGATGTCTCCCTCAGAGCCCAGAGGCATCGAAGAAACAGGAAAGCCAGGGCCTCTGCCCGGAACGCATTTCCGGAGGTGGGGCTGGTGGCGGGTGCTGGAGGCAGTGCAGATCCCTTCCCCTCCCCCCCTTGTGAGCATACCCCCTCCACTCCCCCCTCCCCCCGCCCCCAGGCTGCTCCTCACCGGGCCGCATCTGCAGCACCGTCCTCTTCAGTTGCATCTCCGCATCCAGGTCCTCCCTTTCCTCCTGGCTGTTGCGTAAACTCCAACAGAGGCGGTGCAGCTGGGGGGGAGGCCAGGCCTACTCAGCCCTGCCACCCAGGCCTACAGGGCCATGGCTGGCAGGCGGGCACCGGGGCTTGAGGGACTGAAAGGGACCCGGTCCTTAAACTCCAACAGGAACGGCAGGGATGGGGGTGGGGAAAGCATGGAGTTCGTGCCTCCCCAGGCCTCTGTACTCGCTCAGGGCCCCTTCCGGCTCCGACTCTGAGGGACCAGGCGCCTGTGCCCCCGCTGGTCTCGGCCACTTCCGGCCCAGCTGGCAGAGCCCAGGTTCTGCCGCTGGGCCCCTGGCCATGGCTGACCCCAAGCCTCCCGGGCAGGACCTACGTGCTTGTCCGGAATGGGGTCTGTGAGCAGGGAGATGCCCATGATGGTGAAGAGGCTGATGATGAAGAGTAAGATGGCGAAGTAGAGGTAGTGCACGCCGCAGATGACCGGAGGGCACTTGTTGGTTGACGAGCAGGTCTGGCGTCCGTAGGAAAACTCGGTCACCATCCGGATGGAGCCGATCACCAGCCCGCCGATCAGCCCCCAGAAGGCCCCCTGCCGGGGGGGAGCCCCGAGGGTCACTGATGCGGGTCGGGGAGAGACACAGCCCCCTCAGCCCGCTCCCTGAGTAGTTGATTCTGAAGCCAACCTTGTCATCACAGGCCCCCCCCCCCCTCCCAGGAGCACTGTGTGAGCGCCAGGGTGGGGTTCCTTCTGGCTGAACAGAGGCCTGAGAACGTGCGCAGCGCCCCTTAGGCTAGTCAGAGCGTCAGCAACACTGTGCATGCTTGTAAGGTGGGTCAAACACAGGTACCTCCAATGCGATGTGTCCAGAGAGACCTAGTCCTCCCCGTCCTGTAAGGGCACCTCCATCTCCCTGATTCTCATCCCTGTTCTTCCCTTTCCATCCGGCCCTCCCTCCCGCCCATTAGCCAATTCTGCTGGCTTTACTTCTCAAGTGTCTCTGGAGGCCGGCTGGTGTGGCTCAGTGGTTGCGTATCGACCTAGGAGCCAGGAGGTCACAGTTCAATTCTGGGTCAGGGCACATGCCTGGGTTGCAGGCTCGATCCCCAGTGTGGGGCATGGAGGAGGCAGCCGATCAATGACTCTCTCTCTCATCATTGATGTTTCTCTCTCCCCCTCTCCCTTCCTCTCTGACACCAATAAAGACATAGTTTTAAAAACACGACTCAAACAAAAAGTAAAAAATCCTGACGAATGGTGCTTTCCAAGTCTGATGAAAGCACAACGGAGCCATTCCTGGAATCGTTGCTTTAAGCGTGGCTGCAGGGCGGCCCTCGCTGCAGGGCAGGTGGAGGGAGCCAGGACTGTGATCCCAACACAGAGGCATGTGATGGGCGTTTCCCACAGCCAACGTGTGCAGGGGAGGGTCAGGGCGCACAGGGAGCGTGGGCCCCTCTCTCCGGAGGAATCCCTCTCAGGAAGCGCGTGCTGCCACGCTGTGGACCTGAAGCACCAGTGACCTCCCCCGGGCAACTCTGGCCAAGACACAGCCGCCTACCTGCTCAGTGACCCTCTTGCAGAATATGGCGAGCAGGAAGATGGCGGCGATGGGGGGCACCAGGTAGCTCCTGACTGCGTGCATGTACTCAAACAGCTGCTCGCTGTCTATCGCTTGAATTATAGGGACCCAGACGATGGTGACAATTAGTAAGATGATCACGAAAAATCTGTGAATCAAACCAACATCAGTGGCAGTTTGATGCGTTTGCCCCCTTGCCGATAAAATGTCTACAAGCCATAAACGATGGATCCAATGATCCCTCAGGTTAAGCTCCAGTGCCCGTTCTGAAGGGTGGGGTCGGGGGGACCGCCACACCCCTAAACACCAACAGGGCCGTGTGGCTACGGACAAAACCCCCCAACTCCTGAACAGCGACGACGAAACCGTGTTCGCTCGCCTGGTCCTGAGTGAGGGCCAGGCTCTGGCCATGTCTGCAGGGTGGGTTTGAGGCAGTCCTGCTTAAAATATGCAATCCATGAAAACCACCGTCTCAGACTGCTGGCCGAAATGTAAGGACAACTCAGAAGCAGGGATGAGAGAGAAAGAAGATGAGCTACATGCTTCTTCATGGAAGAAAAAGGAAGCATCGAGACACATGAGGCCATGTGACTTGCATGCAGGCTGGACGTGGTCCAGGGGCAGTCACCGTGAAACCGCTGGGAGAGACGGGCCACATGGTGCAGGGTGTGTGCCCACGCCAGGCCTAGCAGGGGCTGTGCGGCATCGTGGGTGACACCAGGGCTCTAAGATGGACGAGTCCTCCTACTTACCCCTCCCCCTCTTCCCCAGAGAGAGTAAGACAGCTGAACTTCCTTTAACAGCTGAGGACTAACTGAGATGATGAGACACTTCATGTAAATGTCCTCTCAAGGACTACGTTGGGGAGACAGTCAACTACGCCAACTTTTTTCAGTGATCACTTCATTCTTTCCCCAAGTACATTTTTCTATGTGATTATAAAAGCAATACATCTTCATTGCAAAACGGCAGCAAAAATATACGGAATCATACTGTGTACAGGCAGGCGGAGTCCAGAGGAAGTCTTACGGTCTAAACGCATCACGCAATGACCCTGGCCACCGCGTCGCGCCAGCAGACATTGAGCGCAGAGCAGTCCTTCACCTGGCTGTCACCATGAGCTCCCTCTCGGTGGCTGTGGGCCGGATCTGGGGGTAGATGTCCACGGTGAAGAGGGTGCTGGCGCTGTTGAACACGGAAGTCAGGGTGGACATGAGGGACGCCCACAGCGCGGACAGCATCAGGCCCCGGGCACCTGGAAGAGAGGGGACGTCTCCTGGGCGCCGGCTCTGTACGCGCCGGGAGGGGGTAGGCTCCTAAGGGGCCTGCCCAGGTACCGCGCTTTCTCCACAAAACAGGCACGTTCTACTTGGAGTGAAATTTCATCGCGGAGATGAAGTCGTTGCACGTGTCCTCGCTTTGTACGCGACTTACTCGCGTCTCGATATAATAATGGAGCTAATCTCTCCTGAGGGTTACCTTAACCTGAACATTTCTTAGGCATCAGCCTGCCGATCCTCCCTACCCCCCTGTGCGACAGACACCTCTGCTGCCTCCCCCTTTACAGACGAGGAGCCAGAGGCGCAGAGAAGTCGGACTCAGACAAGTGGGGCTGCTCCTTGTGCCTCAGTGTCTTCATCTGTAAACTGGGCACAAAAGCACTTCCACAGGCTGTCGTTCAGATTAAGATAAGTAGACGGGTCAGCACAATCCCAATACTGAGTGCTCCCCCAGTGTCAGCGATGACCCTAACGATCCAGCCCTGTGACTGCCAGGCTACCATGGGGCAGGGACCCCGATCTGCTGGGAGCCTGAAGGCCACTGCAGTGAGGCCCAGGCACATAACGGGCTGCTCGGCAGGCACACACCTGTGTCCGGGGACTGCCCTGCTCCAGGCGCCCTAGAGCCTTCTTTCTTCTTCTTTTTGAATATTTTAAAAAATACATTTTTATTGGTTTCAGAGAGGAAAGGAGAGAGAAACATCTACCATGAGAGGGAGTCATTATAGGCTGCCTCCCATGTTCCCACGGGGGATCACGCCTGAAAGCCGGGCTGTGCCCTGACGGGGAATGGCACCGTGGCCTCCTGGCTCACAGGCCGACGCCCGGCGGGGAGCGTGCCGGGGCAGGCCCAGCCCTTACCTTTGGGCAGCAGCCCCACGATGAGCAGGGCGTAGGCGATGGGGCTGCAGGAGGTCTTGGAGCCGCAGTGCTTCTCGCACTCCGCAGGTGTGACGCAGGCCACTTTGTCTGCAGACAGAGATGCACCGCCGTGCTGGCCCCGGACCTCTAAAACCGAGCTCAGGGAGAGGAACGCAATGGGATGGCAGGTTCCTCCTCCGCCAGGTTCTGGGGGGACTGGTGACGCTTCCTGCTCATGGTCCTAGCCACTTTTGGGGAGCTGGGGGTAGAGACAAAAGCTAGGAGGTCGGCGCTGAGGAGTCAAGGAAGTTATGCTTCTGCCAATTCACTGCCGGACCCAGAGCCAGTCCCGGGACCTTGACCATCTTTTAACGATCCAGCTACTTGTTAGGAAAGTGAGATGTCACTGCACAGGCTGAGCAGCAAGCAGTGCTTGCCCCGTGGGCCTGACCATGGCCCTGCCCGGGACGCTGGGGTTGGGGCTGGCTCTGCGCCCCTAGCTGCCTCTGACAGCGCGCGTGCTCCCCACAGGCCGGAGGGATAAACAAACCCGGCCCTGAGGCCAGCAGCCAGAGAGACCGGGGGATGGGCGGGAGCCACAGGACTACATAGCTCACTAAGGGAAAAGGGATGCTTTCGTAGCATTCAATGGAAAGCATGTGGGCCTCAGATCAGACGTACTTTGGGGGTTACGTGGAGTTCCCCCTCCTCCGCGCCTTATGGATGCAATGAGGTACCAAGCCTCTCTGGCGTGAGCGCAGGGACAGCGTGGCCGGATCCCAGCCCGGCGCCTGCCACAGCACCGCCAGGCAGGGGAGGAGCCCGCCTTCCTGGCACGGAGCACTGGTCGGCAATTCCCTGCCTGGACGGCTCTCCGGAATCCTCCCCGCCGCCACCTCCATGGCCTCTGCCAGACTTCCCTCAGCGTGCCCTAACCCCCACCATGGCTCCCAGGGCGGCGATCTGGGCGCCCGGACCCCAGTTCACTGTGGCAGCCCTGGTGGCCCAGACGGTCTCTGGGACAGGAGGGGGCCCGGACGTCACCTGTGTACAGGATGCGGCTGATCATGCCCGGCATCACCACCGTGAACATGGGCAGCAGCTTCAGGTACCCGCACAGGACGCAGCCCCCCTTCACGTGGAACATGCTCTTCCCCGCCAGGCACCTCTGCACGAAGATCTGCCGAGGAAGTGCAGGCGTGAGGGGGGTGGCTGCTCTCTCGGGGCACACAGAGCCGGCCCCTGGCGAAGAAGGGCGGGGACCCTCACCCAGGCGGCTCCAGGGCCAGAGGAGATGCGTGGCCAGGAGGCGCGCTTTGCTCAGTGCGCAGCCGCCGGAGGGGACCGGCAGGCAGGCGTGGCCTTGGCCTCGTGGCTGGCACTGATGCAGCGCTTACAGCCTGGCCCCTGAGGGGCCACAGACAGTCACTGCCGGGAAAAGGAACAGAGCCCTGAGACGCCAATCAAAGCGAAGGTGGGTTCTGGCCACACATGGGTATTCCCAGCGCGGACCAACTGCGCTCACCTCGTGTAAGCGAGCTAGTCGAGGCCTTAAAAATGCACACATCTCCAGGGGAGGTCTGATGACCCATTTCATGGCTCCTGCTCTCAGAGGCAGCGTGCGCTCGGCCGAGCGGAGCAGCACAGCTGGCAGGAAGCACTTGAGAAAAAGCCGGACGTGGGCCAGGGCACCAGGACCATTCAGCACGCCGCGGGCACCGAACGGCATCCCGAGACGTTTAAGCCATGCGGGGAAGTGCCCACAGCGTGCCGGCAGCCACACAGCGCAGGATGCAGCAGCAGCGCACACACCTCAACGTTATACACAGGAAACGGTCCGCAGGAGGAAACCAACATGATCACAGTGGTTAACCTGCTTGGCTGGCGTGGCTCAGTGGTGAGCGCCAACCTACGAGCCAAGAGGTCACGGTTTGATTTCCCGCCAGGGCACAGGCCCGGGCTGTGTGCTCAGTCCCCAGTAGGGGGCGTGCAGGAGGCAGCCAGTCCATGATTCTCTCTCCTCATTGATGTTTCTCTCTCTCTCTCTCTCTCCCTTCCTCTCTGAAATGAAAAAAGAAAAAAAAAAAGATTTATCCATGTTACTATATATAGCTATACTTCCTTTTTATTTCTATATTTCCCTTTCACTGTATGAATACTTCACAATTTATTTCATGATCCACCATTGAGAGAGCCATGGAATTTCAGAGTAAGTTTGAGTCCTTAAAAAAACCCAACTGATATACTGATTGGCTGCATTTTATTGGCTCCACTGAGGGGAACTGACTCATTTTTTCGTGTCCCAAAAAGTATGTTTTAGAGAATGACAGGGAAGAAGAAGAAAATAAGAATCATTGTGCTGTCGATGGCACTGAGGGAGAAACGCCTATAGAATCCCCGTTACGTGGGCAGTGGACAGGGATCCGAAGGCCACCTGGCCGCCGAGGGCAGGCAGCCGCTGGAGGAGCCGGGCCGCCGCACTCCCCCCGTACCTGGTCGCTGCACCAGTAGTACACGGAGATGATGGGGATGCCAAAGACGACGCCCAGCCAGGGCAGGTCCCCCGTGATGGCGTTTCGGAAGATGTGGAACGAGTCCTCGCGAGGGCTGTAGCATTCCGGCGCGGCGGTCCAGTTTCCCTCCTGGATGATGCTGGGCTTCGCGTTGGGATACTTAGCCAGCAGCTCACTGTACCCGCCCACTCCCTTAAAAGCTTCAAACAACACAGACGTCAGTGTCGGAGCCGTACACGGCACACGCCAGAGGACCGAGATTGCAAAGGGGCCCCAGGCTGATGAACTGGGTCTACGTATAAAGTGCCAGGGAGTGGCAATTAGTCAGGACTGCACGTGCCTAAGAGAAGAGAAGATAGGGGGACCCTGGCGACCGTGTGCCCAGCACCCCTGCTTCTGCTCCTGGTGGCAGAAGCCCTCTTCCCAGCTCCTTCCATCCTGTGTGGCCTCGGTGGGCCTCGTCACACGTCCCAATCGGGTATGGGACCCGCCCGGCCAGTGTTCCCTGGCCCTGGAAGTGGTCTTGAGACCCCGCTCAGCTAGTCAGCTTAAGAAATCACACAGCCTGCTTTCTTCCTTTGGCTTCTCAGCTAGTGTGGCAGTTGGGAGCTGTCTGTCTCGCTGGTTCAGGCAGGACCCTGGATGCAGCCGTGCCTGAAGGTACTATGACTCTGGAACAATCTTAGTAAACTAGGAATGGGAGGGAACTGTTGGTATGACAAAGACTGTCTACCAAAAAAATGACAGCAAGTATTTTATTTAATTGTGAAACATTCAAAACTTCTCCTTTACTATTGGGAATGAGACAAGAACGCCTGCTGTCGCCAAAACCAGTTTGGCTCAGTGGATAGAGCGTCGGCCTGCGGACTGAAGGGTCCCAGGTTTTATTCCGGTCAAGGGCATGTACCTTGGTTGCAGGCGTATCCCCAGTGGGGGGTGTGCAGGAGGCAGTTGATCGATGTTTCTCATCGATATTCGTTAACTCTCTATCCCTCTCCCCTCCTCTCTGTAAACAGTCAATAAAATATATATATATTTTAAAAAAGAATGCCTGCTTTCTCTACCTCTATTCAACACTGTGCTAGAGCCCATGGCCAGGGTAATAAGGCAAAAAAACCCCCACAAAACACACACACACACACACAAAAGGTATCAAGCTGGAAAAGGAAGTAAAGAGAAAGGTAACTTCTTGGTTGGTGCTGGTTTCCAGGATGCTCACGCCGTAACAGCGTATCTAGCTGCTCACGTGACCTGTGTGCGCTTGGCTTTCTCTCAAGAAGCAGAGCCTCCGCCCCCACATTCCAGCATGACCTCAGACACTGCTCTGGATCCGAGGGCCTCCGGCTCCTCATCTGGAGATGAAGATGCTGAAAAGGCCGAGGGCAGCCAGCAGCTTCGGAGATCCCACCCACGGTGCTCCGTGTTCTCAAGCTTTACTCACCGAAGCCCATCACCAAGAGTGAGCCCAGGACGATGATGCTGGCGTGCAGGATGTCGGTGTAAATTAACGTGATAAAGCCACCTGCGGAGGAGGAGAGGGACAGGCGCCACCTGGGGCTCTTCCGCCAAAAGGTGCCCTGGTATCCTATTCCTCCTGCTGTCTCCCCAGATGCCCGCCCTCACACTCTGCCCTCCGATTCACACCTCTGCCCCTCTGATTCACACTTCCGCCCCTCCGATTCACACCTCCGCCCCTCCGATTCACACCCCAGCCCCTCCGATTCACACCTCGCCCCTCCAATTCACACCTCTGTCCCTTCATCCAGTGGGTCTACAACTGCTCATGCGTGGTCTTGGCACACCGTGTTCTCTCTTTAACTTCCTTTAGAAGCTGGATTCTCATCTTGCCCGCTATGTCTCCATTTCCCTTTCTCCCCATTTTTTGGATGAACCAAAACCTGGTAGTTTCCTACAGGAAAACCTGTCCGTTTCCCTAACACCTCAGTCTGGAAGCAACCGTTAGCACACGGTGGCCTCTCCCTGCCAGATGCCAGCACTCTCCCGCTGTGACACCGACATGTATGCAGCCAGACCCTGGGGGGACAAGGACCCCCCACCCCCCCGCACTGCCCACGCTGAGGACACTGATGGGGTGCGCTCCGTTCCCAGCCCTGATTCCACTCCCCTGGGGACCTGCCAGGGACCTTCCCGGCGCCCCAGATCCGCGCCGTGGCCTGGAGACACACGTCCTCACTCTGTGCCCGGGCGAGCCGCCGAGGACAGGCTGTCCCCCAGAGGCTCCCGTCTGGGGCCGGCCCAGGCACCGGGTGAGCAGGGCGGCCTGAGGCTGTGCCGCCCCCTCCTTCCCTTCCTGGGGTCCCATTCGTTCACCTGGCAGGCGGCTATGCCAGCCCACCCCCACCCACACGCTATCCCTGCCGCCCTGCTGACCCACTCATTCCTAGGCGAGGGCGCCCCTGCGCCGCGCCTGCCCCCATCACTGCCGCTGCTCTCCGCAGCCTCGGGCCTCGGCCGTGTGCGCTCCAGACGCAGGAAAGCGCAGAAGCTGAGCCGGCCTCGGTGCCACCAGGTCACCACTGAGAGGCGGAGTGTTGGCGTGAACACGAACCTGAGATCATGTAGACGCCGGTGACCATGAGCAGTACCATGGTGGCCTGGTACACGTCCATGCCCAGGATCAGCCCCATGAACATGGCGCCCACGCAGATCTCCACCTGCAACGACACCGGGCGGCGGCTGCTCTTCCCTCAGCTCGTCCCACCAGCCCGGGGGACTCTGCCCCCGGAGCCGTCGCCGGCAGCACGTGGCCTGCGTCACCCGGGGGCACCAGGTGAGGCTGCCACGCTCTCCGCACGGGGCACGCAGAGGCCAGCCAGGCCCAGCCTTGGCCGCAGGGTGTGTGCACTGACGCGGAGCAGAAAGACCAAATGGATTCCTCTCACACGGAGGCACGTATTACAAGACAGACAGAGACTGGGCAATGGCGCTGAGACTGACCAATGTGCCGTGGGGGCCTTTCCAGGAGCTGGCTGACAGACCTGGGAGAGACGTTCTGGGCACGTGAGACCGGTGGCAGGGCCTGGGAAAAGGGGGGAGCTTTCCGGCTGTGAGCCACAATAAGGCAGGAGGTGGCTCAGCCGGTGACCACAGCAGGGGCTCAAGGCGAGGCAGACGCTGGAGCAGCCCTGTCCTTACAGAGAGTGGTGGCACCCCCTGGTGGCTGTAGCAGGGAGTGACATCACCTAATGACATCACCTAACGACACGGGAAGCCCCAGGTTCTCTGGGGATACGGAGGAGGCTCGGGAGGTAAACTGTTATGAAACTACCAGAGGCCCGGGGCATGGAATTCATGCACATGTAGGGTACCTAGGCCTGATGAGCAATCAGGGCCATTTAGGTTCCCTGCCTCCCTGCCTCCTCCTCCTCTCACTCCCTCAGTGCCCGCCACAGCTGCTGGTCGCCCGCCATGCTCTTCGTCGCCCCCCTGGTGGTCAACGCACGTCATAGCGAGCGATTGAATTCCCAGCCTCCCGGTCTAACTCCCAAGGGGACACTTTGCATATTAGCCTTTTATATATATAGATTCTTCCTCTGCTCCAGCGTTAACAACAGCAGCCAGGAAGTAACTTATGGGGCTCCAGAGTGAACTGCTGGGGCAAATATAGCACAGTCCTGGGTACTGGCATTTATTTTCTTTCTTGGGCTGGCTTTTCCGCAACTTACTGAGATCTTTTGGAAGAGATAGAGGAATAAGTACAGAATAGCGAGGAGCAACTGGATCCGGTAGCCACCAAACCTCTTCCTCAGATATTCTGGCATCGTCACTACCTGCACAAGCGACAAGAGAAGTCACAGTCAGACACACTGCAGGCTCCCCGCCCGGCAGCTGAGCTCACCATGTGCTGGGGTCCTGAGAAGCAGCCTGGGTGGTAGGGGCCAGGAAGACAAGAGGCAGGTCCTGGCCCTGGCTCTGTACTGCCCCGTTGCTGTGAGGATGAGAGAAACAGACAGGGCAGGCGTGGCTCAGTGACTGAGCATTAACCTAGGAACCACGAGGTCGAAGTTTGATTCCTGGTCAGGGCACAGGCCTGGGTTATGGGCTTGATCCCCGGTGTGGGGTATGCAGGAGGCAGCCGATGGATGATTCTCTCATCATAGATGTTTCTACCTCTCTCTGAAATTCATCAATAAAATACGTAGAAGCTTGGAATCTGCTTCGAGTGCAATCCTCGGAGAGCAGAAGGAAATCCAGTTCATTCGTAATGTACGATGCTCCAACCCCCTGAGCCACACTGGCCAGGGGTTCCACACCTACTTTTAAGTTTAACAGTTTTATGAGCTATAATTTGCACTCAGTAGAATTCTCCCAATGTTATGTAAAGTTTGATGAGTTTGGGGAAATGTACACAATTGTGTAAGCACCACCACATTCAAGGTACAAGGCGTTGCCAAAACCCCCACAGAGCCCTGGGGCTTGCAGTCAAGGCCTCCATCCACCCCGGTAAGAAAAATATTGTAGAAAATAGAGGAATTTGTCATTGACACTCACCCCGGCGTTAATGTAGATAGGAGAAAATATCCAACCAAGAGCAAAGATCAGAACTGGAGACTGAAACCAAAAAGAAAAACATCAGGGTCCCACACAGGCCACGCCCTCAAGTACGACGCAAGCTCACGCACTACCAGTTCTGAGCCTAACTCAGGTGCTACCGCCCGGACCTTCCGAGTAACCGCCCACGCCTAGACCTCCCATCCGATGAACTTAACTGATGGGCACTTGATGTTTGCCCCTAAAAGGGTGCATTCTTCATTATGAGGGCTTCCTGAGCCAATTTTCAAGGTATTTATTAGTATTTATTGTTCGCCTACTTCCAGATAAAAATGAAGGTGACTTATAATGAAATATATGGTTAAAGAAGAAAGAAAAGTCAGAAACAATTCAGAGAAATGGCAGAGAAACTACCAAAACCGAAATTGAATACAAAATTGGGTCTGGCTTTCTTTACAGAGAATGGAATATCTGAAGGAGATGCTAGCAAATGTGGAGAGGAAATGCTTGTCCAGTTGAGCGTTTCTTATTAGGGTTGGGATTCCCTCTACTATAAGTATTCTTCTTTTTAAAAAATATATATATTTTTAATTGATTTCAGAGAGAAAGGGAGAGGAAGAGAGAGAGAAAACATCAATGATAGAATCATTGATTGGCTACCTGTTGCATGCCCTCTACTGGGGATTGAGCCCGCAAGTGGAGCCCGTGCCCTTGACTGGAATTGAACCGGGGACTTTCAGTTGGCAGGCCAACACTATCCAGTGAGCCAAACCAGCTGGGGCTAGAAGTATTCTTTATTTTTGTTGTCCGTGAGAAGAAAGATGTGACTCACACAGATATATACATATTTATATATACATACATATATCTACATGTTAATATGACCTTTTCTCTACACGACCATTTCCCTAAAACAGCCGTTTACTATAGTATTCCTATAGTCCCTGGAGTATAAATATTCCGTCTCTTCATGACTTTACCAAGAAGAGAAGGAGCTAGCCCGGTTTTTGGAGAAACTAAAGACTTGTCCTCCCAGGCCTTCTCAGGAAGCAGGCAGTGCACACTGGAAGCTGGGAGCAGGCTCTGGCGCCTCTGAGCTGTCTGTGGACAGAGGTAACACGCAGGCCATCACCACCTCCTTCACTCACATTCCACTCGAAAGCGCCCACGGCTATGCCCGAGGCCGCGCCCATGCCCGCCAGGCCCATGAAGTGGGTGGGGCCAATGTTGGAGGCGTACAGAGAAGCACCGATCTGCAATCAGAAGACAATTCCTCATCAGAACTTAGTCCACGTCCAAGAACTAACTTCACAAATGTAAGCTCCAACTGGATCTTACAATGTTCTTCAAAAGCGGCTACTTCCCGGGCATAATTCCCATTCGTGTCTCTTCTATTCAAACCCTAACCGTAAGGCAGAAGCCAAGCGAGGAGGGAGGCAGAGAAAAGGGTAAAGAGCCGCTCTGCTGCCACCCTCCCGTGCCCCTCAGGCTTACCTGCGATTCCCGGATGCAGAAATGTCAGCAGGAGTGTAATCCATCATTGTTCAGAGATAATTTCAACATATTAACAATCTAACTCATTCTATGGGACTAGTTAAAATACATGAAAACACTGAAATTCAACGCAACGTAAATAAAAATGAAGTCATAAAAGTTAAGTTAGACAATATTATAATTTAATCTCATTAAAATATTACTTGCGTACATTCCGCTTGTGCACATATATGTTTATATATGCATGGGAGAGATTCCGGTAAAAAATATATTAAAAAAATACTTCTAGGGAATGGAATTATGGGCGTAGAGACACGGACAGGGGAGAAAATTTCAAGGCCCACACTGGGACTGTAACTTTTTTTTTTTTTTTTTTTTTTCAACCAACAGCTGTTACTTTCAAAATAAAAAAAATCCCAGTGGCATTTAAAAGGAAGAAAATCCCTTCTAAACCAAACATCGCTTTTTAACAGAGTGGAGACAGCCACTCTGTTAAAACAAAAATCCAACTACTATGCTATTGATAGGAGACACATTTAAAGCCAAATCATCAGGGAGGCTTAGCCTTTGGTAACCACGGACCCCGAGGCGGACGCCACACTCACCGGCCACCACGCCAGGCTGCGGCCCGCCAGGAAAAAGTCCTCCACGCTCCCGCGGTTGTGTGTCAGGATGGCCTGGAACCGAGGGCGAAGGGACAGACACGGCTGCAGGGACACGGTCTCCTAGCGGGTAACCCCTTCAGTGAGACACCAGGTCCGTCTCCCCTTCTTTCTCTTTAGGAATAGAAGGCCGGACCCTTGAGTTAGGGGAGGGCTCATGTGAACGTCCCTAAGCCCACCAGGAGGTGCAGAAGATGTGAAGGAAAAGAGAGAGAGTCCAGTTCTTCCAAGTCAGTGGTCGGTAAACTCACTAGTCCGCAGAGCCAGCTATCAACAGCACAATTGAGATTTCTTTGGAGAGCCAAATTTTCTCAACTTAAACTTCTTCTAGAGCCACTTCTTCAACACAGACAGGCCCTGGCCATGGTATTGTGTGGAAGAGCCACACCCAAGGAGCCAAAGAGCCGCAGGTGGCTCTCGAGCCACAGTCTGCCGACCACTGTTGTAAGTGAAGGGAAGTTCAAATGACAAAAGGACACCATGAATAGAGTTCGGACCAGGGGTTCTCAGCCAGGGTGACTTCTGGCCCATCCCTCGAGGAGACATGCGACAATGTCTAGAGACCTTTTGGTTGTGAACGGGTAGGGGTCAGGGGCACTTCCAGGCATCGTACAACGTACAGGACAGACCCCACAACCAAGGATAGTGCTGAGGCTGAGAAACTGGTTTAGACAAGTAATAATTTGAAACACACACACAAAAACACCTTGGCAACTGAATGACAGAAGAGCTTATAAACACAGGTAAACAACCCCGTTCAAAAATGGGCAAAATAAAGTGGAGAAAAAGCAACGGAAGGTGCTCAACCGCAGGAGTCTTTTACACATAAATCAGAGCTTCAGGGAGAGACCACTGACCACTGACCACCCGTCAGACGGGCAGGAAAGGAAATAAACAGCCAAGCAGGGGTGAGCTCGGCTGGCGAGGGCCGGGGAGCGGCGTGCCCACACGCTTGCTTGAGATGTAAATCTCAACACGTTGTGTCGGTCGCCACTTAATAATGTGACTAAAATTCCAAGTAAACATACTCTCCTGACCCAGCACTTCCAAGTTCGGAATCCATGCTGCACAGATTAAAAGCACCGACGCATAAAAAAGAAGAAGAAGGAAAATAACCTGGCAATAATCTGAGTGTCAGTCCGCAGAGAGAAGCTGAACCGTCCCCACATTTGTATGACTGTTCTGCGGTATGAAGCCATGAGCTGGCGCTCTGTGGGTGACCTGTAGGATCTCTACACACAGCCAGTGACAGGTGAGCTGCAGCATAATGTGTCTGATAGGATCACATTTTTTTTGTAAAAACACAAAAATGCTATGTATGTGCTCCTTGGTTTGCCTAAGCCCCGAGAAGGGGAGGAAGGACACGTGGCCCATGGCTACCCCGGACACTCTGTGGGTGGAGAAGAATAGTAACTCTGCCCTAACCGATTTGGCTCAGTGGTAGAGCATCGGTCTGCGGACTAAAAGGTCCCAGGTTCGATTCCGGTCAAGGGCATGTACCTTGGTTGCGGGCACATCCCCAGTGGGAGGTGTGCAGGAGGCAGCTGATCGATGTTTCTCTCTCATCGATGTTTCTAACTCTCTATCCGTCTCCCTTCCTCTCTGTAAAAAAAAAGAAAAAAGAATAGTGACTCATTCTCTAGATGTGTACACATCTTTTCGCTTCTCGCAATAAGCGTGCTATACTTTCGTAAAGACGATATGTGACTCAGAAAAAGAGCCGAAGGAGAGGTGATAAGGAAGCTAGAGATCCAAGCGCCCAGGTAAGCGGGCTCCTTTGATGGCTCCAACGAGGGCAGAAGGCACCGCAGCTTTCTCTGGGAGTGACCAGATGGCTGAGTCCCCTGACCGGGGCCGGGAAGCCAGCCGGCTGGGGGCTTCTTGATTCGGTAACAGAAACTGGGGGTAAGATCCCCCAAAAAGTGCTCCTCGGAGTCCCCAGCCTAGGCCACCAAGAAGGTTTTCTCCCCGGGAAGCCCATTTTTAAAAAGGTGTTCGTTTAAATGATCTGGGAAACACCTCCATGTCTTTTTTTACTTTGGGAATAAAGGGCCTGCATTCTCTCTGCTGGTCCACAATTCTCTTAATTGGATGGAAACCATGTCTCCATCAATGATCAGGCTTTGTGTTTCGAATTTATTTATTTTTATTGATCTCAGAGAGGAAGGGAGAGGGGGAGAGAGAGGAACGTCAATGATGAGAGAGAATCATGGATCGGCTGCCTCCTGCACGCCCCACACTAGGGATCCAGCCCTGACCGGGAATTGAACTGTGACCTCCCGGTTCATAGGTCAATGCTCAACCACCGAGCCACGCTTTTTTGAGTGCTTCCATGCTAAGCTTTAGGGAGTGAAAGGCATTGAGAGAGACATGGTCTCCCCGTTACTAAGAGCACCTTGCACTCGCAGAGAATACATAAGGTCTTTACACCGAGGTAAGGAGAACACGTAAGATCCCTAGTTACATAGGAGGGTGACCTTTGGCTTAGGCACCTGAGCCAGATGAGGCCGCTCTAGGTTCCAATCTGAACTCCATCATTTCCTGGTGGTTTTACTTAACCTCTTTGAACCCGTTTCCTCAGGTACAGGTGTGTGTGTGTGGGGGGGGGAAAGGGTGCTCCAGGCGCAGGTGTGTGTGTGGGGGGAAGGGTGCTCCAGGCGCAGGTGGGGGGGGGGGAAGAGGGTGCTCCAGGCACAGGTGTGTGTGTGTGGGGGGTGTGGAGGGAAAGAGGGTGCTCCAGGCGCAGGTGTGTGTGTGGGGGGTGTGTGGAGGGAAAGAGGGTGCTCCAGGCGCAGGTGTGTGTGTGGGGGGTGTGTGGAGGGAAAGAGGGTGCTCCAGGCACAGGTGTGTGTGTAGGGGGGGGGGGGGAGGAAAGAGGGTGCTCCAGGCGCAGGTGTGTGTGTGTAGGGGGGGGAGGAAAGAGGGTGCTCCAGGCGCAGGTGTGTGTGTAGGGGGGGGGGGGAGGAAAGAGGGTGCTCCAGGCACAGGTGTGTGTGGGGGGGGTGTGTGGAGGGAAAGAGGGTGCTCCAGGCGCAGGTGTGTGTGTGTAGGGGGGGGGAGGAAAGAGGGTGCTCCAGGCACAGGCCGGGCGCCCAAGGGTCACACCCAGCCTGGTGTCCAGGCCCCGCCCTGCCCTCTGGGGACCCTGGGCCCCGGCGTACCCACATCGCGATGATCAGGACCAGCACGAGGTAGGCCAACATCACCAGGAAGTCTATTTTGTTGTTGACGCCCGAGTCCACCGAGCTCCAGTTGGCGGCGATGCCGTACCACAGGAAGGACATGGCGGGCTCCGGGCGGGCAGGCTCTGGAGGCGGCAACGGCTTTCATTCAGGCTTCGCTTGGGCGCCGCGGCCGCGTGGCATCCTGGGAGTTCCAGCCGCGGGGCATCCTGGGAGTTCCAGCCGCGTGGCATCCTGGGAGTTCCAGCCGCGGGGCATCCTGGGAGTTCCAGCCGCGGGGCATCCTGGGAGTTCCAGCCGCGGGGCATCCTGGGAGTTCCAGCCGCGGGGCATCCTGGGAGTTCCAGCCGCGGGGCATCCTGGGAGTTCCAGCCTCGGGGCATCCTGGTTTCCGCCACCTGCTGCGGGGAGGGCCCTGCGAGGCCCAGCTGTGGCCGAAGAGCAAACACCTGGGCGCTTGTGGGGTGCTCTGTTCAGAGAGACATCCAAGAGCGCTTCTTCGCTGTTGGCCCAGGCACAGCCCCGCCCTTTGGGGCCGCCGTCGCTTTGTCCCGGACTCAGAGCTGCCCCGGCAGGGAAGCCATCGGGCACCGACTTCACTTCCATGACGCCGTCTGGGCCCAGCGTGTTGTGGCGGAGAGCACACGCCATTCCCGGGTCCCGCTCACATCCGTCGCGCTGCAGTGACTTGGCAGCTGCGGTTCTAGACCAGAGAGGAGGGAGCCCGATTCTGGGGTGCGGCATTCACGAACCGCCCTGTCGCAGTCTGGGACCCTTCAGGGGATGTCGGAGAGCCCATTCCAGGCCCGGCCGAGGGCCCCACTCTACACCAATCTGAACAGGGGGCTGTGGCAGTGTTACATAGGCAGGAATGATTCCATCCGTTTTGCTGGGGGAGCTCTTCACGCCACCCGGAAATGGAATTCTCCGTCTCCCTCATTGGTCTTAGGAACTGGATGTGGATGTCCAGCTGGATGTAGACTGTTTGTTTGTTTGTGTTTTTTAAAATATATTTTATTGTATTTTTTTTTTGTTTTGTTTTTTACAGAGAGGAAGGGAGAAGGATAGAGTCAGAAACATCAATGAGAGAGAAAAATAGATCGGCCGCCTCCTGCACACCTCCCACTGGGGATATGCCCGCAACCAAGGCACATGCCCTTGACCGGAATCGAATCTGGGACCCTACAGTCCGCAGACTGGCACTCTATCCACTGAGCCAAATCGGTTAGGGCTTCCTACCTTCTTTAATAATAATAATAATAATAATAATAAATATGTATATACCCACACACACATTTTTTTTTGCTGGATACACATTAATTTGTAGAATAAACCTCATTAACTTGAATTTTAATTTTCTGAGCCCTTTGGGGATATGGAGCACTGATAACCCGGCTAGCCCAGAAGGATTGGACCCGTCCCCCCACCCATCACAGGGCAGGGAGACCAGGGAAACCAGCCACAGGAGCATGCCAGCCCTCTCCCTGGCAACCACGCCACCTGGCGGCCAGTTTTTACAAAGACCACCTGGAGCCCGGATTAGATTTCCTGGTCTCTGGCACCCTCCAGAGATGAGACATTTCCTCCTGGTGTTTTGTAATCAGGTCTCATTTGCCAGGAAGTGATATTAGGCCCAGGAACGATGCTCGCCTTTTACAAAGAAGCGGATTTGGGGCTTGTCAGCCAAAGCGCCCGAGCAATCAGCCTGCATCCGCGCCCACACACAGTTGGCTGGCTTTTCACCGGCATGGCTCAGATCGGGCTCATCTGGGGGCCGTTCAAGGCCTGTGCTCCCCAGGTGTCTGCAGATTTGCTGCCCGCAGTGACAAGATGGAGAAGGGAGGCTGGGTCCTGCCGGTTTGGCTCAGTCGATAGAGCGTTGGCCTGCAGCCTGAAGGCAATCGGATTTGATTCTGGTCAAGGGCACAGGCCCAGGTTTCGGGCTTGATCCCCAGGGTGGGGTGTGCATGAGGCAGCCGGTCAATGATTCTCTCTCATCATTGATGTTTCATCTCCTTCTCCCTCTTCCTTCTGCTCTGACATCAATAAAACTATATTTTTAAAAAACTAGAAAGGCTGGTTTTGGAAGTTTTTTTTATACCTAGATCTTCAAAGTACATAATGCATGCTTCTTCCTGCTTTGTTACGGCTCCTCCAACTGCAGACCCTCCCCCCATCTCATCTGAATTGATTTAATACCAATTATTCTCCCCAATTTCCCTCCAGCCTGCTGTTGTTGGGTGTTAGGGGAAATTGCCTGAGCTCAAAGACTATCACAAGGAAGTAAGACAAAGCCTTTTCAACCCAGAGCAGAAGGCATTGCATGTCCAGTGCTGGCCCTCAGTACCTCTACTGACAATTTTCAACTCTGCCTCATCCTTGAGTTTTGAAATTAGCCTTATTGAGGAAGGGAGAGGAAGAGACAGAAACATCAAGGATGAGAGAGAATCATGGATCGGCTGCCTCCTGTGCACCCCCTACTGGAGATGGAGCCTGCAACCAGGGCATGTGCCCTGACTGGGTATTGAACCCTGACTTCCTGGTTTATAGGTGGATGCTTAACCACTGAGTCACATCGGCCAGGCCACATGCATTTGAAGGTGGCTGAGTGGTGACTAATATATAAAGTTTGAAATAAAGCCCTGTCACAGCAATAAGAGGTTTAAACAACATTTTTGCTCAGCACGTCCTGCATGTCCCCCTTTCCTCTCAGATAATGGCCAATGTCTGCCTGTCCGTTCAGAACAGACTCTGAGGAGTGACCTCAGCCCCCAGTTCTGGAGAACGATGGTGTCAGGAGAGGAAATATTGACAGAAAATGGAAGTTACCGTGACCACGGACTAGGAGAGCACATGAGGGCTCCCCCCCACCACCTGCCCAGCCCCAGGGAGGGGCCCTTTTCCTCGGGACCCCTGGGAATCACGGGAAGGAGGCCCCCAGCCCCCAGGAATGAATCCCACACAACACAGAGCCCACGTCCCGCACAGAAGGGGACGCCCTTCCATGGGCAAGTCCCTGCTCTGGCCCTGACCTGAGCCCTGACCCGGGTCTGAGAGCCGGTGCAGGAGAGGCCACTTGAGTCCTAACCTCTGACCAGCCCAGGAGCTGTGGTCAGCCTCCCCCTGAGGACGCTGAGTACAGACTGGAGATGTCCTGAGGTGATGGGGAGGCCACCGGAGGGAAACCCTGGCCTGGCCCTAGGGCAGGGGCAGTGGGCAGAGCAGTGGGAAGGCAGAGGTGGTCTGTCATGGGTTCTGGTCCCCATGTCACTCCATGATGTGTCTGGGCCTGGACACTAGAGGGCGGTGGGGGGTTGTTGCTGAGGGATCTGGGTGATCAGAGATGGACCAGCCCCCTGACAAAGTGCAGGACCATCTGCTCAGGGCTGTCAGCTGTGACTCCCCACACCTGGGCCCCACACAGCCCCTCCCCCGCCCTCACCCTGCCATCCTCAGGCACAGGGACCCAACCCAGCGCCCAGGAAAGAGCAAATAGATGGGGTCTCATTTGCATAAAAGGGCCCTCCCTCCCGCAGACTATGAAGAGGGGCAGGGAGAGAGGTGGGGAGCTCTGCTTCAGCTGTGGGCACAGGAGGCAGGACTCAGGGATGACCTCCACCATGGCCTGGGCCCCTCTCCTCCTCAGCCTCCTGGCTCACTGCACAGGTGACTGGATAGGGGACAGGGGAAGGGGCCTTGGGAAGACACATGGGCCCTGCTTCCTCCTCTTGTCTCCAGACCCAGACTCACCCTCTCTGTGTCTCCCCTCTTCCAGGATCCTGGGCCCAGTCTGTGCTGACTCAGCCGGCCTCAGTGTCGGGGTCCCCGGGCCAGACGGTCACCATCTCCTGCATTGGAAGCAGCTCCAACATTGGGGGTAACTATGTGCACTGGTACCAGCAGCTCCCAGGAAAGGCCCCCAAACTCCTCATCTATGGTAATAGCAACCGACCCTCAGGGGTCCCGAACCGATTCTCTGGCTCCAAGTCTGGCAGCTCAGCCACCCTGACCATCACGGGGCTGCAGCCTGAGGACGAGGCCGATTATTACTGTGAGTCCTATGACGACAGCATCAGCGGTCCCACAGTGCTGCAGGCCCGTGGGGAAGTGATACAAAAACCCCTGTCTCTGTGCCGTGTGAGCCCCCCAGCAGCTGCCTGCTGGGCTCAGCCTGAGACCTGTGGTGTAGATTTGCCTGTGATTTTAAGCACAAAAACTGGCCACTCACAGCGATCAAACTATAACAGATTCGGGGTTGCCATGGTGATGAGGAAGGGGGCGGTCCAAGTGGGAGGAGGGGGTCCAGGAGCAGAAACTCTGGCTGTGAGTGCCTGGCTCTGGGAGGACAGGCAGCATGGGGACCAGCAGGGGGCGCTGTCCTATTGTGTCTGTGGAAGCAGCTCAGAGACTGGACCTCAGTGTCCTCAGCACAGAGCCAGCCGAGCTTGCAGGCAGTGTGACGGCAGAGGTCAGGGGCATTATTCTGGAGCCGGCTGTGCACGGACACCCACACAGAGTCCTCACGGTGTGCACCTGACACTAACCTAACGTCAATTACATCTGCATTAAAAGATAAAATAAAAGGATAGGAATGAAGCTGAATCCTCTGTCCACAGAAGCACCAGCACGTGGACGTCTATGGCAGCTTCTTAACGGCCTAGACGGAGAGCGGCCAGCAGGCTGTGCCTGGAGGCGTGACAGCTGTGAGTCCAGGGGGCGGCACTGATTCATTCACCTGCAGCCTCAGTGGTTGTCAGCGGAAATGGCCTGAATTGGCGGCCCAGAGGCTGAGGGGCCGTGTGCTGTGGCCATCGGGAGCTGGGTGTCTGCTGCTCACTGTGCCCCCAGGCTGGTCACCCCGGGACCTGCAGCTTCCGGTCTGCTGGAGACAAGGCGCTCTCCAGGGTCTGTGGCCGCTGCTGCTGGGATGATGGAAGCTCCTAGAAAGTCCTTGCGGGGTTCCCAGGGCAGCGCCTGGGGATTGCCAACCGGCAGGACCAGAGCGCAGCGGACAGCTCCCACCTCCGCCTGCAATGGAAAGTGATGTTAGAAAAAACGTGTTTCACCTTTCACCCAAGCAGAAGGCACTGCATTTCCATTGC